GTGAGAGGAAATAGAATTTGTAAACAAAATATGGCAACCTTCGGTTTCTATTTATAGTATGTTGCTGACCTCGGAGCGCAGGGCGTTCCTGCGAGGAGCGCAGGGCATTCCTTCGGACGCAGCGCGTAGATGCGAGGTGTCGATTCTGGCTTCGGACGTGTCTACCATATGAGATACGTGTCCGGCGTGCGAGGGAAAGGGTGACGTGGCTTGACTTTAGACCATGTATATGCGAACGCGGGGCGTTCCTTCGAACGCAGTGCGTTCCCTTCGGATAAGCTTCGAAGTTTGTGCCCAAAATTTCAAAAATTCATATCTTTTGCATACGAGCTTCGTTTTTGACGTTCTTTATATCCACACGTAGGTGAGATTATACTCTACAAATTTTGTTTAGACTCCGTTGGCTAATTTTGACTTTATTTTTAATATTATTATTTTTAATAGACCGGGACAGGAAAATCCGTTAAAAATTCATAACTTTTTCATCCGACGTCCGTTTTCGTCTGTCTTTTTACCGTTGTACTACTATTGATGAGACCTTCAATTCTCGTTTAGGTTGTGTCAGATAAAAATCACTCGATCTTTATTTCGAGTTTTTAGCTGTCTACTACTATACCGAATCTTGGAAAAATCATAACTTTCTCATACGAAGTCAGATTTTGACGTTCTTTTTATGAAAATTCTCGGTTTAACGAATACTATGACTTTCATTTAGATCATATAGGCTAAAAAGTAGTTTATCGGAAACTCACTTTTTACGTCATTCGGCGTCGTGCCAGTTCTGTCGCGAAACTTTAAGGAGTCATATCTTCTTCGTTATAACTTAGATTTTGATGAGGTTTTCGCCTAAATGTTTCTAACGAGATTCTTTACAACTTTCAATAATATAATGTTACTTATTTTCAACTTTATATTTTCGTTAAATTTTGATATTTGACTTTTGATCGGAATCTCATAAGATTTCCCATCATTCTCTAAACGATTCTAAACATAGTTTTACTTCAATTCTAGTAAAAACTATCTTGTTAGAACTCAATGTTCGGATTCATATAATATTTCATTATATTATTCACTTTTAAAATTACATAACATGATAACTGAACGTATATGTTACATGGGATCTTCCCCAGAAAACTCCTACGTTTGAAATTTTTCCAAGAAAACTACTAAGATTTGTAGCGTCTACATGTTACCTAAAGTTGAAATTTCCCCCAAGAAACATGTCAAAACATTAGCTAAAAATGGGATACTCCCCAAAACAAAGAAGATTCATAGCGAAGACTTTTCTCGAGTTTAAGGTTAAGGGTCCTTCCTGAAATGAAGATCCTTCCCAATGAACTCCTAAAGCAAAGACCCTTTCACATGGTAGTATCGTAACCATATGAAGGTTAGGAACTCATGACTTCAGATTCTTCCTAAGATCTACAGGTTCCATCTATCTTTATTCTAAAAAAAAACTTTGTTAAGTTTAAGGATCCTGAACCTTTTAGGATCCTTAGAAAAAATCATTTGGTTATCAAAATTGAAGTATGCTAAACAATGATTCGCTAAAAGAATTTTGTCTTAGGATTGTTTGCAGGAACCATGTTTTTCAAGATCTTGACTATTTAAGGATCCTAGTATCATAACAAGTCATAAAGAAGAATCAAGAGAGAGATATAGAAAGAAAACACAACCATTGCATTCAAAAGGGGTTGTTCAGCAACCCACAGAAAGTTAACTGTTTTACATCATTAACTAAAATAAAAAGCTACCCAAACTAATTTTTTTGCAGGCCTAGACCTTAGTGCGGTCATCATCGGCCGCGTTCTTCTCCTTCTCCTCCTTTACAGGCTTAGACCCAGGATCCTCAATAGGAATGGCATGCTTACTGGTTATTTTGGCTAATGCCTCACGCCATTCGGCTACATTCATGGATCCTGAGTTCTCAAGATCCCCCATCATCCTGATCTTAGCTTCCCCAATAGCTACCGCAACACTTGCCTTTGCATCGGCGATAACCTCCTCGATTTCCAAGATATGCTCCTCTTCCTTCTTGTCCTTCACCTTGATCAGAAGCTCGATCCTCCCGAAAAGATCTTCATAGGTCGCCTTCCACTCCTTCCCTCGTTCCTTCAGAACTCGCTCAACTTCCTCAACTCGGATCCTTAGATCAGTCACAGATTGGGAAACATAAGCAGAGACCTGAAGTAAGTATGGCGTTAATAGAAACAAATAGAAATCGGAAATTAATGTCATAGAGACACTTACTGCTTGGGAAAAGGAAAGCAACTTCTGAAGTGACTCTTCGGCTCCCAGATTCTCCAAGTTGAGATTCGTGGCTTCTGAGGTCTTCTTCTTACGGGAACTTAGGGCCTTCACGGTGAGATCAATGAGAGGTTTCTTAGGAAGAAGAGCATGACAACTTTCTCTCTTTTGACTGCGATCAGACCACTAGACACATCATCTTCGAGGTCAGATAAAGCGAATCGAGCATTAGGACGAGAAGCCTTGGATCCTACACGCCACACAAGATCATCATCAATACATGATTTTCATTCAGGATCCTCATCGGTTCTAAATTACAATAGAAAATATAAAGATCTTAACAGTTGCCATTGATGTAGTGGTAGATGAGCCTTCTTGAAGACTGGGATAATTGATCCTGAAAGACCTATCAGCCGCAGGAACAACAAAGAGATTCTCTATCTTTTCTACAATATCCTTGGCAACAGGAATAAGTTCTTAGAACCTAAAAGCTGCCAAACAACAGATAAGATGATGAAAGGTGAATCCCGGGATACTCAATATAAGGAAATATTGGTCCTACCCTTTTTAACCCAAGTCTTCAGTAAGGAATTCCCACCGAGAATCGAGTCACACGTCACAAAGAAATATTTCTCCTTCCAAGCACTTTCATTATGTTTCGTTTTTAGAATGAAAGGGGATTGGTGTGGTTTAAGCCTAAGAAGAAAACGAGAATTCCCAAAGGTAGCAAGATTATACACGTGAGCCAACTCTGCTAAACCTATATATAGACCTCTGGACTGGTTCAATTTCTCAATCCAAAACAAGACTCTCCAGACAATGGGTATTGCCTGAATGTAAGAAATTTGAGTGATTTCGAAGAACTTGGAAATAATCCCGGAAAAGGGATATTTCAAACCTAAGCCAAAGGGATATCCAGGAAAGCAGACCCAAGACAAACAAGCTAAATCAGGTTGGAGTTTCAGATCGAAGGGTTTGAAGACAACTTCGTTAGAAAAAGCACCAACTGTTTGCAACGACTCGATATCATCGTCGTCGAAAGAACATGTCTCATCATAGGATAATATCCTCTAGTCGATGAAATCATCCCCAGAGGAGGCGAGGATATCCTTGCGAGATACAGTTATTTTTTTGCCCATCGTTAGTGAAAAAGAAAAGTAAGGAGAAGAGGAGAGAAATGTACCTTCAAAAGCGACTGAATAAGAGCTTAAAGATGCACAGAGGAGTAGCCCTAATCGATTGCCTCTATTTAGGCTAATGACTGAAGAAAGAGAAAGATTGATTAGACCGACTATGATGACTCTCGAATGGATAAATCCTATCCGTTAGGGATTAAATTCAAAATTTACCCTTCTCTCTCTCTCTCTCTCTCTCTCTCTCCGTTTAGTTATTAACTTTAAGGGATTCCTTTATTACTATCGAAACTAACTCGCTTATTTTCAGGAATAACTTGGGGGGGCAATTGTTAGGGCTAGGATCTTGAAACTGCTATAGGATCCTCAAGTCTAAGGATCCTCAAAAGCTCAAGATCCTCAAACCTCAGGATCCCGAATATACTCTAGGATCCTGACTAATATTTTTTTATTATTTATAATGGACATATATTCTTTTGTCTTTCTCACATGTGCAGAAATAACTGGTCAAAGTCATATACTCAACGGATAGTCATCACAACTATACAAAAGACCCGGAGGACTAAGTCAAGCAAACGGATATAAGTAATCTTGGAGGATCCCGAAATTCTCGGAGTTCTAGTTGTTAGGATTTGACTATATAAAACATTTGTAATCATCACACTACACACGATTTTCTGGCAGAATACTATTACTTGTACTCATACTCATTCCATTTTCTCTGTAATTTTCATTTCAATTAATAAAAACATCAAGGCAGGTGATCATTATCACCTCGCAAGGTTTTATACCGGAGATCCTAACAAGGATCAATGACTTTCATTGTAAACGATTTGTGTTGCTTTGATTCATTTTACTTATTTGCTTTACATTGAACATCATGACCTCTCATACACTTTGGTCTATTTTAATTCAATTATTTTTTGGCCAAAACAATTACTAGCATAAAAAAAAACACATATGGGAGGGGTCATATATATATATATATATATATATATATATATATATCATAAGAACGTCCAACCTTAAGTTAAAGCCCATTACATATGAAGTCAATCATGGAGCATTAATAGTATTTTGACACGATTTGAACATCGGAAACATTGCACTTCAACCATTAGGGTTCTATCATAAATAACACACCATACATACTTACATATATGCATGCATACATAGATACATATAAAAATAATTTTACAATTAATATATATATATATATATATATATATATATATATATATATTAAAAATGTCTAGTAACAGTAAAGTTCTTAAGTTTTTGACATAATTCGTCCTCCATCGTAACAATCCTAGGCTGTTTCTTTTAGAGGGTATATTTTGCCATTTTGTATATTGTGTGTCAACGCGCGTTCATTTCTCTTTCTTTCACCGTTTTTCTCCACCAATAGAGACTTGATTTCTGTTAGGCGTCTAACACTTGTTCCTATTAAAATAGTATGAACCATACAGATCACAAGACTATCATTTTCTTTTATATGGTATCATACAGAAGTTATTAATGTTATAACATTTACGGTTTATACTTTATACTCAAACTTGGAGGATTGAAACGTATTTGTATGATAAATTATGGACTAAAGTGTGATTTTCCCCATTTTCAGTCCAAACCCTATCAGCATTTAGCCGCCTCTTTTCTCGCTCTCGGTTGGAAATTCTTCTCTTCATTTCTCCGGTCATTTACTTTGGCAAAAATGCAGTCTGCAGCCGTCGCTCACCGCCACTTCCTCGATGGCGGTGCCGCCGCCTCCTCCTTCCCCCTTTCCCATTTCAAACCTACTCCTTCTACCGCCCGCCCCTTCTCAGTTCGCATGTCACTACGCGAGGACGCCCCATCCCTTGCCGTCGTAGGCGTCACCGGTGCCGTCGGCCAGGAATTTCTCTCCGTCCTCTCCGACCGTTCCTTCCCCCACCGATCCATAAAGATGCTTGCTAGCAAACGCTCCGCCGGAAAGAAATACACATTTGAAGACAATGAATATGTCGTCGAGGAGTTAACCGGTGACAGCTTTAAAGACGTTGACATTGCTTTGTTCAGCGCCGGTGGTTCAATTAGCAAGGAGTTTGGACCTATTGCTGCGAATTGTGGATCCGTTGTGGTGGATAATAGCTCTGCTTTTCGTATGGATGACAGCGTTCCATTAGTGATTCCGGAAGTCAACCCGGATGCAATGGCGCATATTAAACTAGGGTCTGGTAAAGGGGCTTTGATTGCAAACCCTAATTGCTCTACCATCATTTGCTTGATGGCTGCCACTCCTCTTCATCGACGAGCAAAGGTTAGCAATTTCACTTGTTCTTCAACAGTTGTATCCCAATCAACATCGCCATGCTTTTTCTCAACTACACGATTATTGCAGGTATTGCGTATGGTTGTTAGCACATACCAGGCTGCTAGTGGTGCTGGTGCTGCGGCCATGGAAGAGCTTGAACTGCAGACTCGCGAGGTTCTGCTTTTGCATATCTTTTAGCATATAAGTTATAACAAGTGTCTTGAATTTGATTTCTCTTTTCTGGAATGAAGGTGCTTGAAGGAAAACGACCCACTTGCAAAATCTTCAAACAGCAGTATGCTTTCAATCTATTCTCACACAACGCACCAATTCTCCCAAATGGATACAACGAGGAAGAAATGAAATTAGTCAAAGAAACAAGGAAAATCTGGGTAAGTTTTGTTTTTCATATCCCTTGAAGCATATGTCAATACGCCATTTTTGCTAAATGTGATGTTCTGATTTACACCATAGAATTGTAAAGACATCAAAGTAACAGCCACTTGTATACGAGTTCCTGTGATGCGTGCACATGCTGAAAGTGTAAACCTGCAATTCGCAAGCCCCCTTGATGAGGTATTTCTGTTTATGATCATAATTTATTATATATATTAAAAAAAACTAAAACGATAATTTCTGTTTTATATTTAGAATGAAGCAAGAGATATTTTGAAGAAAGCTCCTGGTGTGGTTGTGATTGATGATAGAGCTAGCAATCACTTCCCTACACCTTTGGAAGTTTCTAATAAAGATGATGTTGCAGTAGGCAGAATCCGTCGGGATGAGTCTCAAGATGGAAATTATGGGTTTGTAACTTTTCAACATTTGATTTTTTTATTTGTTTATTTATGTCTTAGATTGTAATTGTTGTATTTTGTTAAAAAAAAGGTTGGATATTTTTGTTTGTGGGGATCAAATACGTAAGGGGGCTGCTCTCAATGCTGTTCAGATTGCAGAGTTATTGCTATAAACCAAGATGTTTCCTTTATCCAGGTTTGATTTTTCCCAATATTTATTAAAATCTTGATCTTTCTCATTGGTATCCATTAATCTTGATCATGGAATGTAATGACTTGTTCCATTACCTTTTGCTTATTGCATACCCTATGTTGTATTGTAATTTTATTTCTATGTTTCAGGTAAACGTGAGATGAAAAATTGTTAAAGGAGACACAAATAAGATGTTGATTTTGGTTTTTTGAAGAGAGATGGATACATTCTTTTGAATATGTTGTCACCACTTTGGGATTCGTTTACATGCATGTTCCTTTATTGCAAGTTTTGATGTAGATTTAAGTTAGTTAAGAAGTTACTTGAAGATGTGGAGTTGGGGTTAAAAGGATTATGAATAAAGTGGTGTTGTGATGAGATTGTATAATTGTTGTCTTTCATTTGTCAAGGATCATTTGTGTTTTTAAGTTTTGGTGCTTTTTATCGAGTTGTTCATGGCTTGTTTCTGCATAGTATTTGAGTTTGAGGGATCGAGTACTTGTGAAGCTTTGCCTATGCGAGATATGTATTTTTATGGTTTTGTTTGGCAAAACTGACTAGTAGCTGGAAACAGTAGTTGGAGCATGGAAGCTGTAGTTTTTGTTTGTGTAGATGTGGTTGATAAAAGTAGCTATAAGTTTTTGAAAGATGATAAATAACATAAAAACTAAAACCTTAATGCTCCAAAAAGTTTGTTGACATACAATATACTACATGGTAATAACCATTTGGCCAATATGTTATATGTGATTTAATAAATCATTTAAATTGGTTAAAGACTTAAAGGGAACACGACATAGAAGGGTAACATACATTTTTGTGAAAAATATCATTATAAGTTTTTTTTTCTTTCATATATTACCATTAAACATTGTATTTTGGAAAAACCATCCAATTATAGCATTGTACTTTAATTCTCCGGCTTAGGGGCTGTTTGGCAGGATCTTAATTTTTAAGATCTGAATTTTTAAGAGGTCTGAATTTCTAAGAGGGTCTGAATTTTTAAGATCTGAATTTTTAACATGCTGTTTGGTTTGAACCTCTGAATTTTGGTGCTGAACGATAAAAATGACAATTTTACCCTTTTGTATCATTTCTTTCAATTACAACATCATATCTTTGAAAAAAAAATCCATGGAAGTAGGATGCTAAACATTACACCCAATATTACAAAAAAATACAATGAAAACTAAACAACCTAATATTTCATTATAATTACTAGCCAATAGTTTCCAATCATTCAAATCGACTGTGTCATCTTCGCTATCCAGGTTTTCCCAATCTCAATATCGAGCCATTCGCTATCAACATGAACAAAACTAGAGTTGAAATTCACTGAATCAACAAATAAGAATTCAATTTTGACTTTTTATGTTTGACTCCGATGAACACAATTGACTCAATTGCGTTCGACTCCAATCAAACAAGTATGTTCAATCAAGTAAAACCATTCCCTGTATGTTCGAATGAACACATATAGACCATAAAAATCAAAATCATCGTTGAATTTTGACTTCAACTCATTTTCAATTTCTTTCCGGACACGAACCGGAAACATTATCGGATTTGATTATAATTACCTGAAGAAGATGTGAGGGCGAAGCAGCACGACCCGGAGGCGGAGGCGACATAAGCGATGCGGTCGGAGACGGCGGCGAATCCGGCGACGGCGGCGGCGTTGCAGATTTAACGGAGCCAAACGGATGATGTCGGAGGGTTGTAATTGTGTGATTGGAGATGGAGGAGAAGGAGGGGTCGGCGGTTGTGAAAGAAAGAGAAGAGGGAAAGGGGTGACGTACCAGGGCAAAAAGGGAACGGGCGTCTTTTTTTTTCTTTTCAGATGATTCGGTAAGTGATAAAATTCAGATTAAGACCACAAAATAAGAGGTAAACAAACAGTCTGAATCTTACCGATTCAGACCTACCTCTTATTAAGTGGTATTAAGATGCAAACAAACGGGGCCTTAGTCTGGTTAGTGGTGATAAAGTTTGTTTTGTTGAATCTCTCTCTCTCTCACTCCCTCCCTCCCCCCCATATGATGAGATGCAACCGAGGTGAAACACAAACGTGCCATATGTATAAACTAAATTAAGGAAAAGACAATGATTTTAATTCAAAACTCTAAATATATATCGAAAACATATACTTAAAGTACTTGCGAATGTGAGAGAAAACATCCAAAAGAAAACTAGTTAAACTTCAAAAAAAAAAAAAAAATCACATATCATCAAGTATACGAAGGAATGTCATTTTGTTCTCCATCCTTGCATCAAGAACTTCAACCTAGGGATGGCAATATGACCCGACCCGCTGGGGAACCCGGTTAACCCGCCCCGACCGGGGAAGGGTATTCCCCGCAAAACCGGGTAACGGGTATGGGGCCGGGAATCCCTGTATGACAAAAAGTGGGGATGGGGATGGGGACGGGTATGCTATTCCCCAACCCGCCCCTCCCCCGGTTATATTATACCCACTTATACATATAACATATTAGTATTATATATCAATTCGTTAATCATTATACACCGAGTACTATCCAGTAAATATAAATATTATATATTTTAATTGAAATCAGCCCAATAGCCCATGATTGAGTGAATAGTGATTGACCCAAATTGAAACTTAGAATCGCATATTCTGATTTCCGATCGCTTCATGATCATCCGTCGCTTCTCTTAGGCTTAGGCAATTGGCACGCTGTGAGTTGCGAGACTGCGACAGTGACGAGTCGTTTCCCAGAAGGCCAAAACTGAGATCACTTCTGATTTCTGATCGCTTCATGATCATCCGTCGATCGCTTCTGATTTCCGATCGCTTCTTGATCGAATATTCGTGGTTCTGTTTGAACTTCGCAGGCGGCAGGTCGGCACTCGACATTGGCACGAAACAGGTTACACTTTACACGTTACTTAGCGACTTATCGACCCAATCTCCTGACTCCAATCGTGCTTCTCAGCTTCTGTTTGACATGATTTTTCTTTTGTACTAACGGTTTCAATTTTCATTACAGTGACATGATTTTCTTTTGTACTAACTGTTTCAGTTAGACTAACTGTTTCAATTTTCTTTTGTCATTACGAATTTAGGATGCTGTTGTGCAGATTATTCTTAATACATCATTCCAAATATGTGTTTATGATTTTCCAACTTGATCTTGTTGTGTAGAGTGCAGACTTTGTGATGTTCATACTCTGTTTTTTAGATTTTGGATGATGATGATGAATTTATGTTTATAATCAATGTTTCTGTGTAGATTGTATGATGTTTAGACTTTATTTGATGTTACAAATTGTGTTTTTTTTGTAGGTTTAGATGGCTACACTAGAAAATGATAAACAACCAACCATGAATGAAGAAGATGAACTTGAGGATAATGAACAAGAACCTGTAGAAAATAATCCGACCACCGAGCATCCTAAAAAAAGGTTGAAATCCGCTGCTTGGAACCATTTTGATCCGATTTTTGTTGATGATGTTCATAGATGGGCGAAGTGCAAACATTGCAAGAAACAACTGACTGGTAGATCCAATGATGGAACAACACATTTGAAAGATCGTTACAGGATATGCCTTGGCAAAAATACAAGAGACATTAGGCAACATATATTAGTTCAAGGACAAAAAACTATTGATGATAAAGCTTATATGAGTAAATATTCATTTGATGCTGAAGTGTCTAGAGATGAACTAGCAAAGATGATTATAATTCATGATTACCCACGCTCCATTGTTGAACATTATGGTTTTCGAAAGTATACCGAAAGTCTTCAACCTTTATTTAAGGTGCCTTGTCGTAATACAGTCAAGGGCGATATAATGAAGGTATACGAAGATAAAAAATGTCATATCTTGAAATGTTTTGAAGAGAACGATAGTAGGATTGCTCTCACGTCTGATATGTGGACAACAAGTAACCAAAAGAAACGTTACATGGCAATCACAACACATTATATAGATGTCAACTGGAAGTTACAAAATCAAATTATGAGGTATTTACTATAACTAATATTATTATTTGTAATTTATATTGGATGAAGTTTTTAAGTGTTATATTTTATTTAATGAAGCTTTATATATGTGCCATCTCCACACACTGCTGATGCATTGTCACAAGCTATGATGGAATGCTTTTTGGAGTGGAACATTGACAACAAGTTGTCAACATTAACACTTGTGTTCAACAAATGATGCCATCGTTGACAAGCTTTTAGGTACGCTTACTACTTCATCGTTAATTTTGAAGGGGAGAATATTTCATATGCGATGTTGTGCGCACATAATTAATCTTATTGTGCAAGATGGATTTTCTGTGATTGCCAATGCAATTGAGAATGTTAGGAATAGTGTCTTCTATTGGACAAGTTCTCCTAAAAGAATAGAAGATTTTAGACTTTTTGCTCGGCAAGTGGGTGTTAATTGCCAAAAGGAGTTACTTCTTGATTGCAAAACAAGATGGAATTCCATTTATATGATGTTGAGTGTTGCTTTGGAGTACAAAGAAGTTTTTAGTCGTTTGAGCAAAAAAGATAAACATTATTAGGGATGAGCAAAATGACCGAACCGGCCGGAACCGGACCCGACCCGGGAACCGGCTTCGGCCAAAATCAAGAACCAAACCGGCCCGGCGGTTCTACCGGTACCCGGTTCCTACCGGTTCTTGTCGTGTCTTCAAATGTTGGAACCGGTCCTTGAAAAATAACATCATACGGTTCCGGTTCTACCGGTTCCCGGTTCCAAAAATCCACAAAAATAACGTCCCGGTCCCGGCCCGACCGGTTCCATCGAGTTCCGGTTCCGGTGCCGGTTCAGGTTCCGGTACCGGTTCCGGCCGGTTCCCCGGTCCATATGCTCATCCCTAAACATTATGTTTGCTTGCCTAGTGAAGATGAATGGAATATGGCATCAAATGTTTGTGAAAAACTGAAATTGTTCTATCAAGTGACTGAAAAATTTTCTGGTACCAAATATCCCACGTCAAACATATTCTTTCCTTTAATTTGTGACATGAAACTATCATTGTTGAGTTGGAGCGTATCTGATAATAATGTTATTAAGTCTATGGCACCAACTATATTGATCAAATTTGAGAAGTATTGGAATGTAATACATAATGTTATGAGTGTAGCAACTGTCTTAGACCCTAGGTATAAGTTAAAGTTGATCAATTATTTCTTTCGTGAGATTATGCAAGTACGCAACATAATTACTGAGTTATTTGAAGAGTATAAAAAGAAACATGATGCAAAACAAGGAGCTTCTTGGAAACGACAATGTGAAACAAACGCCTCTCAGGGAAGGGGTTCTACTTTAAGCAAATCAACATGGGAGTTGGATTTCGAGAATATGCTTTCTGAGGATGATGGATTTGAAAATTAAAACTGAATTGGATGATTATTTAGCTGAGAAGTTGTTACCGAATGAGGAGGGCTTTGACATATTAATGTGGTGGA